AAGTAAAATAAATAAAAAATAAACAAAAAACCGTTTATTTTTATAAATAAATTCTACATTAACGGCTTTAAATTTATAATCATTTTTAGATGTATATAAAAATACATAAACTTTCCCAAAAAAGAAATTGGTATCATATATCTTTATAAGTAAAAATTTAAAATGGATATTCAAGAAATATCTTCTGGACTTTCAAAAATCACCTAGAAGCTTTTTATTGACATAAATTGCTTTCTAGATTTGCTATCAGAAGTTAGATTCCGAGGTGAGAAAAACGATACTCTAGCAAAGTGTTTTTCTTAGATTTACCAGCAGTTTGGAATTCCTGATGCAGTGTATAAAGACATCACTTGATCTTTCCTTTTATATCTACACATATAATTTTTCAAGAAATTATGAATTTAAATTGAATAATAATAATGATGATAAAACAATGAATAAACTGTTTAAAAACTGTTTTAAAATTATTTGTAAAAAGTATAAAATCAAACAATTTTTTAACGTAAATACCAACATTAGTAACGCAATACAGATCATCCGCGCTGAAGTTTGTCACTTTTTTTCTTTTTTTAAGGACAGGAAAAAATCAAGTAATTTGCATAATGCATTCACAATCGTTTGGTATAAGGTCTTCTTTAAAAATAATCACATTCATTTACATAACAAGGACAAACTTTGCGTGCAAAAACACAGCCATGCTATAGATCTTTTCCAATGGAAATTACCTTCTTTCTCTTCTTTTTCCCCCTTGCTGAAGTAATATATCATGTAGGTTTTCGTCATCGCTTCGAGTGACTTTTACAAAGGATCATATGTTTGACATGAATATGTCAAATAACATACACTACATTAATTTCGTACAAAGTAAGAAATTTTGCAACTTATTATCGTTAATAAGGTGATATCGAGCAGAAAAATCAAATTGTCACATACATTCTGTAGAATTTTTAATGCTGTTTTATTATAATATATAGGCCTATATATATATATATGTNACTTAAATATGTATATATTTTACATATATTTGTATATTTATTTATTTAACACAATTGAATTTTATTTTATTTAAAATTTTGCATAATACAGAAAAATGCATTGTTACTAGAAAAATTTCTTATACTGTATATTAATAAGATTATTGCATATGTGGGGGTAGAGAACAGCAAATAACCTGTTACGATGGAGAACAGCAGCTGTGACAGACATTGGCAAGTATGTGTGTGTATTTGTGAGTTGTGTCGAGATGCACCAACAACATTCTTACTTCTTCCCGTTTATAAAACTTGTTTCAAACCACCAATCATTTGTTGGCTTACAGTATGAGAAATCCTGTAATTTAATTTTCCTTGTCCGTCCATATTAAGGATGATAACATTTACATTATTTAGTGGTCAGGCTACCCACGAATTTGTAGTGTATAACTTGTTGATATATCAAAATAATTCACAATTCTTCGCCTTCGTCAGAAAAATATGTATAATTTAAGTACATTCAATTTAAGTATGGGATTACAGGAACCAAATGCAGACTTTAAAATCGGTCAGAAGAGGGTAATTGTGCCGAAACTTGTCACTTCTATCACTTTTAGTTTAAAAATAAATATATAATAACCCTTAAAACAATTGTAAATTCGCGGATAGTATAATAATATATATATATATACACGTGTATGTGTGTGTGCTTGTGTGAATACCTCGTAATGATAACATTCAACGTGTAATGAGTGAAGGGAAAGATTTTTTTTTCTTCCGAAAAACTCTCGCATGACGGTGAATCAAAGAGGAAACAGCTGGTGTTATCAGTTGGGAGTACAGCTTAATCTTCTATTAGCCGCAGAGAATAACTAATACTTGTCATCGTAACCCTGGGGACACAGACACTTGTCAAACAGCTATCTGGTAATATCAGATTCTCTCGATTTCTCTAAATCTTCCATCTTAACGGGCCGTTTTATAAGACATAAAATTTTACTGCTGGTTTCAAAATTATAAGTAGAAAAGTTTAACCTGAAATATTGCGTAAATTCATGTGTAGCTAGTATATAGAAAAGCATTTTCTTAGTTATGTGATAAAGTTTTGGAACTTCTCCTGATGGGAATTCATGATTCGTTCTTTAAGTATTCACGTGCTAACAGTAATTCCTCTCGAGTTCTCTTCAGATCAAGGAAATTCCGAGAAAATGACAGCAGAACCTCTTCTCTTTCAATCGATTCTCTTCCTTTATATTTGTTATTTTTGAAGTTTCCAATAAAGAATTTCATTGATAAACCATACGATAAACAGTTATAAAGAATAAGACATCCAAGTAATCATTTATATATATATAACTGTTTGTAATTTAAATTTTATACATCTAATAAATAGTCATAATACAGTAACATGAATTTACAACAGAATTCTTAAAGATAATATTAAAGTATACGACACGTCATAGCATCTGTTATTTTCTTTTTATAAACAGTAATAGCAAGTTTGATTTTTTTAAATATTTTTTTAGAATTGCTGTTGAATTTCTAAACCATATTTGAAAATGAATGATTTCTTCTCCGCCCAATAAATTTTTTAACACGAGATTCTTTTGTTTTAAAAGAAATTGATTCAACTCCCATTCTACACCAAAATCGATTTTTCCAGTAACTATGCCTATTTTCTACAAGGAAATAGATACAGCACTACGCAGATATATTTAAAATGCGTGTAAAGAATGCAAAATATTTTAATACGAGAGATTAAAATTGAAAATATTTAAGGCAATTAACCCAAATATAAACAGGTAACGCGACTGAGAGTTAATGGAATTAAATGTAAAAAGAATACATATATTAAAAGTTAAGATATTTTTAGTTATTAGGTCATATAAAGGAGTTCGTTTGTTCTGTCGATCCTTCCATTAACACTTCTTTTGTCCCATTAGCTAGTGTTCCCGGAAGCACTTTCTTTAACAGAGAAACCTATCCTAACATGTCTACATCAACAAAGCTAAATTGACTTCTTTTCTAGCCACAGTTATTTCTCTAGAGATTATGACTTCTGCTCACAAACTGCACATTATTTACTATAATCATCTACTTTGTTATANCTATCAAATTTAAATTTATCACGAATTATCTCAATGTAACTCATTTTGTATAAATCATCTACAGAAGATTTAATCTCAATAAAAATTAAAAAAATTCCTCTATAAAAATTAATTAATAATGCTTATGCATGGTAACGTAACAAAATTACATTTAACTGATTATTTTTATCAATATATAGTAAAAAAATTAAGTATTTTTGAATATTATTTTTCATTAGGAAAATTTTAATTCGATTAAACAGTATATTAATTTGTATAACTTATAATAACTACGATAACTTACGTATGATTAGCTATATATAACGGATAATAATTTAGAAATATTATTTCCATAAATAATTTTGTTATGTGTAACAATCCGATAAGGGCATTCCGCATTTACTAATAAAACTATATGTGTCGAAGATAAATTCCACAACTAATTATTTGTATGTTGAACACAGA